TAAATGATGGGGAAAAATGCTTTTTTAACGTACACCAAAAATGAAAAATCTAAGTTAAATAATGGATTCACTTCTCAGCAATAGCCCCCCCTTAGTCGTAATTTTGAATGGTTTTTATGGTTGTATTCTCGTTTTTTTTGGTCTCATTTGATAGAATGGAAGATATATTACAGAAATAGATATGATTTTTATTGCTTTCATGACAAAAAGTACCTTGAAATAGAGCTCAACCTACCTCAACCTAGAAGAAATGGCCCATTGCTTGGCTGTTTCAGTGTAAACAAATGACGTCACAGTAAATCTTATATTTTTTGTGTGAATAAAAATTACAAATTATTTATATAATAATAATGATAATAATAATAATAATAATGAAAGAAATCTAAGCATAAATAATGGAGTTCACTTCTCAGCAATTAGCCACCCTTTAGTGGTATTTTCGTATGGTTTTTATGGTTGTATTCTCATTTTTTTGGTCTCATTTGATAGAATGGAAGATATATTATGGAAATAGATATGATTTTGATTGCTTTCATGACGAAAAGTGCCTTGAAATTGAGCTCAACCCAGGAGAAATGGTCCGTTGCTTGGCTGTTTCCATTCCAATGTGCAGTCGTGAATGGGTTGACATATTTATAAAATTATTGCATTAAGGAATAAGAGTAAATCTTATATTTTTTTGTGTGAATAAAAATTACAAATAATTTATGTAATAATAATAACGATAATAATAATAATATGTATAATAATAATATGAATAATAACAATACGGATAATAATAATAATAATAGTATAACAATAATAATAATAGTATAATACAATAATATTAATAATAATAATAATAATAATATGTATAATAATAATACATATATAATAATAATGTACTACATATAATAATTATAATAATAGCTTCAAAAGGCCGTCACTAGATGGCAGTGTTTACCACAACAAATAGTGAGTGGTTATGGCCGCCTCCACCTGTTACATAATGACATATTTTATTCATTCTAGAGTATATATCGTGTTTTTATGTTATTTATATTGTCTGTTATGTCATATTAGATGAACTGTGATATATAAATAAGCCGTATAGATGATATTAGCAAAATCATTCATGAAGAATATTGCCCGGTGTCCAGACAAACTCTCGTCCACCGCCGACACTGCCCATACCACTACATGAATGACATATTTATTCATTCTAGAGTATATATCGTGTTTCTATGTTATTCATATTGTTTGTTATGTCATACTAGATGAACTGTGATAGATAAATAAGCCGTATAGATGATATTAGCGAAATTATTCATGAATTATTTTGCCCGGTCTCCAGACAAACTCTCGTCCACCGCAGGCACCGCCGACACCGCCCATACCACTACATGAATGACATATTTTATTCATTTTAGAGTATATATCAGGTTTCTATGTTATTTATATTGTTTATTATGTCACATTAGATGAAGTGAGATAGATAAATAAGCCGTAGAGTTGATATTAGCGAAATTATTGAAATACAGAATTCCACTGGAACGGATTAATTGCATTTCAGTTAATTTAAATGAGGAAAATTGATTCTGCAAACGAGCAAATCCAGTTGCGAACAAGGTCATGGAACGGATTAAACTCGCAAGTAGAGGTTCCACTGTACTGTAGTTACCAGAATCTCATAAGTAAATTGAAAGCAAACATGTGTCAGACACTCACTAAACTTGCAAGTTCTTTGGTTCCCACTTTCTTACTTTGACTAAAGTTATTTAATATAATGTGTTGTATGAATTTTTGTTTGCTTGTTTGTTTAGGAGCAATGTGTGGTGTGAATACTCTGCAGGGAATTCAGAGGGTAGACATTTAAAAATGTTGTGGAATCACCAAGGATATAATTTAGAGGGCTGAAGAAGGATTATTGAAGTGGTTTGGGCATTTAGAGAGGTTGAGAGGGATTGGATGATGAAGAGAATGTATAAATCTGAAGTGGAAGGTAAGAGTATGGGGTCATCCAGGAATAGTTGGAAGGATAAATAGAGTAAAGGTAGCTATGAGTTTTAGGGTCCTGAGCATCCAGCAGCTCTGTGTGAGCATTTTAGGAGTGAACAGACAAGTGCTTTTTAATGGACGTGTTGATGCAATGTGGGCTAAGTAACATTTCTGAAGAGATTCAAAATTGATTAGCAGAACTTGAGTCCTGGAGGTGGGGAGGGCTGTGCCTGCATTCTGATGGAGAGGTGGGAATGTTGCAGTCAGAGAGTAATCTGAATTGCGACGGAGAGGTGGGAATTTTGCAGTCAGAGAGTAATCTGAATTGCGACATCATTACACTTCTGGCTATTGAATATATAGTGAGTGTGTTTTCTTTGGCCCATCTTGCCTTGAAGGGATATGGTAATTGAGGAAAAAAAAATCTTAAAACATAGTTAGCCTATCATTCCTTACTGTAGTTTTTTTTTTTCTTTGTTTATTTATTTTAATGAAGACAAGAGATTACAATATTTCTGTTTATTATAGTATAAAACATGTTTAATTGCACATGTTTTAAAGATTTTTATTATTCCTTTCTGTTATGTTTTAGTCACAACAGTGCAGCCCAACATTGGAATGGCAGAATTCAGTGATAGACGTCAAATCAGCATTGCAGATCTTCCCGGTTTAATAGAAGGTGCTTGGGCAAATATTGGCATGGGGCACAAATTTCTTCGACATGTTGAGAGAACCAAGCTACTTCTCTTTGTAGTTGACGTCAATGGTTTTCAGTTGGGACCTAAACATCCACACCGGAATGCAACAGAAAATATTATTCTTTTGAATAAGGTAAAAGAATTATTTTAGATCTTAGTGAAAAAAAATACACATTAGTTAACATGCTGTGGTGAGAAGGAGGATCTGTTAGAGAGAAAGAAGTGTAAGTGTTAAGGGAAGGTTCAGGGCTAAACAGAGGAGTCACACAACCAGACATATCCTCTTTGTCTACCACATGTTAATAAATGCCTTTAAGAGTGTGTTTAAAATAAAATAACTGTGAATATTAAGTTTTTATATCATAAAGTATGCAATTTATTTAGGCTATATTAGCAAGTTTTTGTCTCTTTGATCTATTTTTCTTTACAATCAATTTGCATTCTGTATCATAACTTAGGAGTTGGAGATGTACTCACCAGACCTGATTGAGAAACCTGCCTTACTTATGATTAACAAAATGGACTCTATACATGCTGAAGACAATCTTAAGAAACTTCTTAAAGATCTTAGCCAGATGAAGGGTAAGTTTCCTGTTTTGTAATTTTATCCAATGTTTTTCTTCCAAATAAATTTATTCTATAAGTAAGTAATAACTGTTTACAAGTATTTTCTTCCGTAACCCTTTAACTGTCACAACCCCAAATCCTGAAGCGTCTCCTGGTGTCGAAAAATTTTTGAAAAAAAAAAAAAAAATTCTTATGAAAATGTTAAGATTATTTTTCTGATCTTTTTAAGCCAAAAAAATTTTTTTTGCAATCAGTACTTACCGAGATATAGAGGCATAAAGTTGACAGAAAATGAGCCGCATATGGCAACAGCGACGACTGCCACTCGCCCAGTAAACTTTGGTTTACTTGCATTTGAAGGTTTCTTGTTTTTTTTTTTCTCTCTTTTATTTTTTCACATAACTTATGTGGCCTGTGAAACCAAAGTTTAGTGCAGTGTTCATATATACACTCATTGAATGTAACACAATTATAGCAAAAACACTAGTATCATCATATTGTTTACAAAACTTGTTTACACAAACAAACTAATAAAAAAATGTTTATTACTATTGTTCTATAATATATATACATATGTACAATCACTGGACACTTTCTTAGAACTGCTGCAGCTGTGGAATTCTTTGAAACATGAGTGTATGCTCAATGGTGTTTTACACTCCTCACACATGAAGCGAGTGTCTCTGCATTTTTGTGGGCGTTTTATGGTATGTGCACAAACATAACACCTCTTCTGAGCATTTTTCTTGAAAGTAGTAGGAGGCAGTGGTATGGGGTAGTGATCACCAGGCCTCAGACGAGATGGCATGTGTTGGTAATTTCGTGGGCGCTGGTCTATTGCAAGTGTTGTTCCTTGGTACTTGAATATTATTTGTCTGATAACTGACAAACAAAATTCACCATATTTGGGGTTGTTGTTGGTCTTCAACTTATATTATAAGCATTCAGCATGAAATGTCAAGAAGATGGAAAAAGAGTTTTATGTACCACGTATAACTCTTGCGAACACAATCAGCAAACCCAATCTGCATGTCACATTTGTTCACTAAGCACATATTGAGGTTGTAGTCCATCACAGCTGCAGGTTTTACAATGGGTTCATTGGTCTCTCTATTCTGTTTGCCAGTGTCTACCATTTTGTGTCGGTGAACTGATGTCAACAATGTGACATCACGTTTGTCATGCCAGTGAAATACCATGATGTCATTGGCAGCAAACACCTGAACTTCACCTCTACAAGTGCCTATGTCGAACCTAGGCATATGTCTACGATTTCCACGCACTGTGCCACACACATCTGTTATGTTCACTCGCAAGAAATCAGTGAGTAAAGGGCTTGTGTACCAGTTATCAGTATATAAAATATGCCCCTTACCAAGATATGGTTCCATCATTGTTCTAACCACATCACCAAAGATACCCAGTAACTTCTTGGTATCTTGCAATGTGTTACTGCCAGTGTACACAATTATATCCAAAACCAGACCAGTTTTGCAATCACACAGTACAAATAACTTTATACCAAAGCGTTTCCTCTTGCGTGGTATATACTGCTTGAATGACAGTCTGCCTTTGAACAAAATCAAAGACTCATCAATAACAACTTCCGAAGGATAAAAATACATACAGAACTTTGTTTCAGGTACATAAACACATCTCTGATCTTATATAACCTGTCGCTTCTGTCAGACCTTCTTTTGTCTGAAAAGTGTAGCATACATAACAGTAGCATAAATCTATTCACTGGTGTAATATCACTGAAAAACTGGGGTTGAAATCTGGTGGTCTGTCGACCAGTATGTGTTGACACTGTGCCTATACACATGTGGCATAAGCATTATTGTGGCAAAGGGAAAAGATACATCTCTGCTACAGTTGTTCCTTCCACTGGGGTAGACATGATCTTGTGAAAGAAATGTGTTTGCCAGGTGTACTCAAAGTATGTATTTTTTTCCCTTTGACATAATGTCCATCAGGGGTTTATCAAAGAATAACTGAAAGCATTTTCCCTTTATAGCATTATTCCCAAGTGTACTGATGGGCCCTTTCCACTTTTTATTTCTCGAAATGATGGGGGGTGGGAACAAAATTTTCACCTTGCTGCCAACCCAAATGCATCCCGCTGGTGGGTTGGGGTTTTACAGGGTTGTAGTTTTGGAGTTGTGGAGTTGGCATTGGTTTGAGGTGGTTGTGGCTGTGCTGATTAGCATCATGGGGATACGTCCCACTGCTGGTGCCCCAGACCATGCCACCACTACACCACCAGCCCCCTGCTGCCCCATGCACTCAATCATCCCCTTATTATTTTTTTATTTATTTTTTTATTTAAATTTGAGCACACTTTCAGAGGTACAAAAAAAAATACAGATAAACACATCCAAAGCCCTTAACATGCATACATTACGGGGTTTTCTTTTAAAATTTTCTTAAAATTAAATAAGCAAGATAAATCTGAAAAACATAATGTAAACTGATTACTATAAAGCACAAGTGATATTACAAAGACAGGCATATGGTTCATGCATTTTTTGTAAATTCATAGAATGGAGTTTCTTAGGTAGTGAATTAAAAAATAATAAAGTTAAGGGGTTTTTGGGTTTTTAACATTTATGTGTTTTATAATTGTGAAAACTTTTAAAGATATAAAAATTAAAAAAAGGGTTCAGTTTTCAGTATTTATTTGGTTTTGGGTGAAAAGTGTTTTTGAGAAGAGCTTTTTATAAACGGGTATGTTTTTTTTATTTTACAGGAAATAAATTTTCCAATTTTAGGGTTTTTTTGGGGCTTTGAGTTTTTGCATAGCGTGAGATGGAACGGGGAATATCAAAGATATCTTCCCTTGTGTTAGGGTCATGTGTTCTTTTGAGGTTGGCAAGGAGAGTTTGAGGGGGGGGTTAAATACAGATTGGTGTTTCTTTAAAATGGGTCAAATAATAGATTTTTTGTATGGTGAGTGGGTTTGATGATTGAATATTGGGAGTGTGCTGCCTGTGTGAAAATTTTTGGTTATCATTCTAAACTGAGCCTTTGTTGGGTAATTGGGTCTGAAGGGTTTTGTTTTGAGCCCCCATGCACAAATTCCATGGTGAGATGGGGGAAAAATAAAATTTGATAAGGGCCAGGGGGGCTGATGGGACATAGTACCGTATCTTCGAAGTATCCTACTTTTGGGAATTTTTTCTTAGAAATTTGTTGTATATGTGTATAAATTTAGCTATTAAAAGGGTGGATTCCCAAAAATTTTCCCCTCTTTAACTTTGTGATAGGTGATCCGTTTATTTTTAGAAAAGGGGGAAAATCTGTGCTCTTTTACCAAACTGAAGAAGTATTTTTTGTCAATGTTTAGTGAAAATTTTTTTTTGATCACCCAGGTAATATTTTCTGAAATTGGGTATTTACATTTGGCGCGTGACGGGCTCGGGTGGGGAAAAAGTATGTTGTGTCTACAAATAGTGGGGGTTTGGAAATTGAAAGCTTTTGGTAGGTCATTTAGTAGGGGAAGAAAGAGAAGGGGGGAAAGGGCACTTCCCTGTGGACCCAAACTTTTGGTTGGGGCAGAAGGTTCCCCCATTTGCGAAAATATTGGCTTCTGTTGCTGAGGTTGACTTGAGGTAGTTGAGGGGTGCCCTCTTAACCCATAGTGTGATAATTTTACGTAGAATCAGGTCAACTGTATCAAAAGCTTTACGTAAGCAATGAAGATCCCCAGGGGACTTCTTTTTTCTCTTTGCAGTGAATATTTTCTAGTGTTTAATAGCAATTAGTATTTTTTATTGGGCCTAACCCAAAATTTGGGCAGGGGTTGAGTATGTTTTGGGAATAAGGTGGGTAATTGTTTATTTTAAATTTTTTCAAGATTTTTGAGAGAGGGTGTAATTGGATATTGGCCTATATTATTCAACTCTGTTTGGTCTCCCCCTTTGTGATGGGGGTGACCCTTGCTTTTTTGAGTACTGTGGGGGAAGGGGAGATTCAATGGATTTGTTAAAGAGTTTGAAAATGAGGGGGTAGCATTTAAACATTTTTTTGGTATATAAAAGGGTGGAAAGGTTTTTTAAATCTCCTCCTTTTTTTTTTGGGGTTGATAATAGGGGATTTCGTATGGTTAGTCGGAGTGGGAACGTGTGTTGGGGTATTCCCGGTGGGGTAGTCTTTTGGGTGGGGTATCTGAGCGGGGATTTTATTGGCAAGGTTTTGCCCTTGTGGAGAAGAAATTTTGAGTCTTTTCTGTTTTTTGGGGGAGGGGGGTTCATCGATTTTGCTAATTTTTATTCGCTATTTCGGATTCTTTTTTGTTCCAGAATTTCGATAGGGTTTTCCAGGTTTTTTTTATTCACCCGTAATTTGGGATAATCTTTTCTCATAATAAATTTTTTGCCCTTCTTACGGCTGGTTGGGTTTGGGAGAGAAACGTTTTTTTTTGGTCTTGGTTATGTCCCCCCTTCGTCGTTTTTCTATTGGTGTTTTGTATTTATGGTTTTTGGAATGCGGGTGTTACCCAGGGACTGTTCACCTCTTACTGTATTGCTTTTTTTTTTTTGGGCATGCTTTATAGAGGTATTGATCTTTTTTAGAAAATTATTAAACATTCGTCAATATCTTTTTTTTCTAGCTCGTGTCCCAATCAATTTTCAAATGCTGTTGTAAGTTTTTAATGGTTTCCCATTGTGAAGTCTGGGGGACTTTAGTATGTCTTGGGGGGAAATTTTTCCAAGGGTTATGGGGAAAGTAGGGTATGGTCTGTGGTTTTTATCTGAAATTATCCCTGTTTTTAAAAAGGGGTTGGGTGTTGGTCCGATGGGGTCAAGTAGGGAAACATAGTCTCTTAAACTCTTGTGGTTTGTTTACTGTTGTAGCAACTACGTTACTCATTGTGTTTGTAAATTCATAACGTGTGGGCCCGGTCTTCAGAGATTTATATTGAATCACCTGAGAGTAGTAAGTGACTTTGTTCATGCGGCTCGTTTATATTTTAGGTTTTGACTAAATTGGCTAATTTTTGATGTGGAACTCTG